TTCTTGTTGTTTTATTGTCTCATTTCCTTAATAATGTTTGCTTTTTGCGCATATTCTTTCACACTCAGTAATACCTTGCGACTTAGTGGCTTTATTGCTTTGCTTGGTGTGAAATGATTAAAAAAAGAAATTCCTGCTCTTTTATTGTTCTCTCTCCTTAATAATGTTTCCCTTTTTTCATTATCTCTCAAACGCTGTAATCCCTTGCATCTTAGTGGCTTTATTGCCGTCTTGTTGGAAAATGATTAAAAAAAGTAATTCCTGTACTTTTATTGTTCTCTCTCCTTTATAATATTTGCTTTTTTTCTTATAATATCTGAAACTTATTAACCCCTTGCGTCTCTGTGGCTTTATTGCCTTGTTTGGATGTGAAATAATTAAAAAACACTATGTAATACCAGCACTCATAGACACTCCACTCTGAGTAGCTGCAATGAAAAGCAACTTGAAATAAAAATGAAAAAGAATTACTAAAAACTCTTCTTTTTTTTTTCTTTTTTTTCTTTTTCAAGCTTTTACACCCCAAGCAAGGTGGGAAGCCACTAGCACGCACAGGGTTACAGAGTGTTGGAGCGAGAGCAAAGAGGAGTGATAGAGGAAAGGATGAAGAGAAGGTTACGGGATAGATCAAGGCATCTGAAGACGTCGATTGACATTACATTTGAATAGTTGGAAATTATAGCTATCAGGGAAACAAGAAAAGGGGATGGAGTTCCACAGGCGAGAGGTGCAAGACATGAAGCTATTGGAGTAGAAGAGACGGCTGCATTTAACAGTTTCGATAGCGAAAGGGTTAGAGCGAGGTGCCAGCCTAGTAGAACGCTTAAATTCATGAAGTCTGGGAACCAGCGAAAGTAGCTCATCGGAGCAGTTACCATGAAAGTATTTGTAAAAAAAGACAGAGGGAGGCGACGGCACGTCTGTGAGAGAACGACTTCAGACGAGATACCAGCTGACAATATTGCATTTACTATTCATTCAAGACAATGTTTTTATTTGCTCGTGGATTGCAATGAAAGGCAATCGAGATTAAGATAGAAGAAATGCTGAAATAATTTGTAATAGAATATATAATTCTGTGTTATTCCCACAGAAAGGTTAAGAAAATCAAGAATGAAATGATAGCAGTCAAAAACAGAAGAGAAACAAGAAAAAAGAGAGTAGATAATATGGGAAACATCGTTAGAAATAAAGAAAAGTGTACTGAACTGTTTTGTAATATCAGTACTCCTGTATTGATGGTGATTGTTGGTCAATCGCTCACAATTGAAGGAGCCACTTGAATCAACAGAAATGTAGTTCTACAGAAGGATGCTAAGAATACCATGAACCGAACATGTGAGCAAAGACGAATTTGTAGAAACAATGGAAATAAAAAAAGAGACTTATACTTGACATCAGGAATAGACAGCCGATATGTCTAGGGGACATAACGAGGAAAGACGGGTTAGAAAATTTGATATTCACAGTGCATGGTGAAGACAAGATGGACAGAGGAAACAGCTCATCACGTACCTTTGTGAGCATGGTTGGCGGAACAGTAGCAAAGAGAGAGAAAAAATACAAGAAAACTTATTGAGTATGTTGCTTAACTGCTCTCTCGAGAGCCTGTACTTTATAATGCTCCATAAGTTTACTATGGGGTTGAGGTCAGGAGATTGGGGCGGCCATGTCATCACACTCACCCGCTTCTCATCAAAGTATTCCCTCGTCAATTTTGATTTATGACAGGGAGCATTATCTTGCATAAAAATGAGCTTGGTGGGGTCGATTTGCACCCTTTCAGCAGAAGGGAGCAGACAAGACTCTAAAATTCTCTTGTACTGCTCGCTCCTGAGGGTCTTTTCAATAGGTTTTATGAAACCAGTTCCATGAAAAGAAAAGCATCTCCAGAACATTATACTGAATGGATGCTTGACAGTACTTACTGCTAAATTCAAAGAGCTTTTAAAGCTTCTTCGGATTTTAGATCGCTTATCCGTTAAATTTAGTTCAACTTTCGTTTCATCGGAGAAGAGAACATTTAGTAAAAAAAATCAGGTGAGTCACTTATTGAACAGCACTGTATATACACATTTGTAAGACCCCGTGAATTGTCTGTCCTGAACGTTTGTCATAAACGGACTTAGCGCTGTTTCCAAATCAACCGAGATTCAGAAAAAAATATAATAGAACATTTTTTATTCTTATTATAATGTGTTGGGGTTCCCATTTCGCTTCGTCTCTTTTGTGTGGTGCCCTGTTGAAACAAAAATGACAATATCTAGACATATTCTAAGTCTTCAAAATCTTAGGAGGTCTAAAAAGAAGCTGATTTTCGTCCAGATATCTGAATCCATTTTTATTACAGTAAGGTTTGCTCTGTACAAGGCCCCGGAGAACACAAGGTAGAGGGTTAAGTCAAGGGTTTGTTTATACGGATAGATGGGGACGATAACGGTTGACTCTAGACTTGAACAGGTAAACTTTGTATTGATCGCAGTAACAACCGCTTGGGAGTTTGTTCCATACGACAGTGGATCGCGTGAAGAATCTGCTCGAGTGAAACTTACTTTTCATCGATGGTATACGAAGGGAATAATGGTGGTTTGCTAATATTTAAGTGTCGTGGTCGGTCCTAGCCGCGAAGGTTTAACTTGGTGAAACCAAGAAATGCAGTTCATCCGAGCACTTTCTATGATCGTAGCGATAGACCAGTGAGAGACTCTCCACACCCTGCATGTGAGAGAGAGAGGTTGGAGGGTGGAAAAATAATTCTTCTCCAACAATGACTTCGGGAGGCTTTTGTACTCTGTTAAGAATAGACAAGGAGGTGTGGGCAGCTCCCGGCCACATATAGAGCAACAGTGCTCCTTTTTCGGCTTGAACTGGCTCTTATACGAACAGAGAATAGCAGGAGGAGTCAGGTACTTACTGGAGCGATAAAAGAGCCGATAATTTTACCTGCATTTTTTCCGATGGATTGTATATAGGAATTCCACTTGAGGTCAGGTGTGAGTTAGAGGCCCAATATCCTCTTTTACTATTTTATCAAAAACGGATCCCAACCGCTAGGCAAAAATGCTATATCGATCTAGCAGTGAAAGCATCAATAATGGCTGATAATTCTAGCAACAGCCAGAAAACAGTCTGCCTGCATTATGTGAAGGGGTTATCAGAGAAAATACAAAGGACCTGAGGTCCATATAACATCAGGACAACCTTCAAACGCTTGACGACACTTCGCAGATATCTCTCCCGAGTAAGCACTCCCCCCATAGAGGAGAACATGACTAAAGACGGTGTACGCCATCCCGTGCGGAAAGAAATATAAAGGGGAGACAGGCCGCATATGGAGAAAGAAGGGAGATCACTGTCCTCTGTGGAATCAGGTTGAGATCATAAACAAAAAACACCATTGAAGAATTCGTAAATTCAAGGAATCAGCACATATGCTAGGCCACAAAAATCTCCTCAGCCGACCAAGCATAAGAATGAATACAATGTGGGAACCAGTAATAAGAAGTGCCAGAGAAAAGCGATAATAATAAAAAAAAAATCAATATGAGTTCTTAAAAAAACAGCAAAAAATTGCAATATGAACACTACTAAAATGATTGCTGAGACATTAGGTTTATAATACCCAGAAATTCATACACAGACGACCTCAAGGCATTAGTTAGATCCATTGACAGACCCCAAAAACTGTGAGTTCAATACCCGGTTAAGGCAGTGGAGAACTTGAAGAGGGGAATTAACAGGAGATAACTGATAAATGGCATCCATTAAACATGGCACGTGTAACTAGAACAGTCTACTCGAGTGAGGGAAATGAAGAGTTCAGTTCGACATTTCAACCACCTGAAGAAGGTCGGAGCGTACAATGGCCGAAACGTTGTAATAAATATAGCGACAAAGATGAGGACAATAGTCCGAATAATGTAAATAGTGTACAAAATACCTCATCTTAGGAATATAGACAGATAGAGAAATGCTGAAAAGTTGTAATAAATATAGCGACAAAGATGAGGACAATAGTCCGAATAATGTAAATAGTGTACGTAATACCTCATCTCAGAAATATAGACAGATACTGAAAGGCCGAAACGTTGTAATAAATATGGCGACTAGATGAGGACAATAGTCCGAATAATGTAAATAGTGTACATAATACCTCATCTCAGAAATATAGACAGATACTGAAAGACCGAAACATTGTAATAAATATGGCGACAAAGATGAGGACAATAGTCCGAATAATGTCAATAGTGTACATAATGCCTCATCTCAGAAATATAGACAGATATTGAAAGGCCGAAAATTTGTAATAAATATGGCAACAAAGATGAGGACAATAGTCCGAATAATGTAAATAGTGTACGTAATACATTATCTTAGAAATATAGACAGATACTGATAATTCTAATCTTTGAAAAATTTCTGATAGCATGGATATCTTTGGACGGTATAAAATTCTCAGTTTCTTTCTCCTGAAGGGTCCGATGGTTTTGACTTATTTATTTTTTACGGCTTGTCAACCTTTTTTACATGTTATTTAGAGCCAGAAAATATTTTTACATTGTAATGATTTTTTTGAAGAGAAAAATAATTTACTGATACATATCTTAATATTTAATCCATAGCCGAGGAGAGAAGCAGTGGAGTCATATATCTCCTAAGGATATTTGCGCGTAAATGACTATAACGTACCCGACTGGAACTGGAACCCGGCTCTCCAATTAAAAAATCCGAGCCTTTATGCATTACACCACTGCACATCCATGCTTACAGCACTTTGTATTAATAAGCTGTCACCAATCTAGATACTAACCAGCCTCAACGTTGCTTAACTCCGGTTATCGTATGGGAAATGTTTTTTCAACATAATACGGATGTAAGATATACCACCAGCACATTCAACATTACAGAGCCTCGTGTTGCCAAACAGTCACCCATCAAGTTCCTGACCAGGCTCGGCGTTGCTTCACTTTTTCGACGTAATTCAGATTCACATCAAAGTGCCTAGTATTTACAAGCGGTTACCCATCTCGGTACTAACCAGGCTTGACGTTGCTTAACTTCGGTGATCGTACGGGAACTGGTATTTCAACGTGATGCGGATCTAAGATATGCCACTCACCCGTTCAAGATTACAGCGCCTAGTATTTACAAACGGTCACCCATCTGGGTATTGACAACGCTCGACGTTGCTTATCTTCGCTGATCGTACGGGAATTGGTATTTCAACATGATGCGAATGTAAGATATACCACCTACACATTCAAGATTACAGCGCCTCGTATTCCAAAGCGGTCACCCATCTATGTACTAGCCAGGCTTGACGTTGCTTAACTTTGGTGATCGTACGGGAATTAGTGTTTGAACGTGATGCGGATGTAAGACGTACGATCTACACATTCAAAATTACAGCGCCAAGCATTTATTCACAAACGGTCATTTAGGTACTAACCAGGCTTGCCGTTGCTTAACTTCGGTGCCGATGTTTTTTGAGGAGGTGGAGCAATGTACATTTGATATGAGAACCAAGCATGAATACTGATGAAAGAGGCAGCAATAAATATTGTTTGTTGAAATAATATTTACTTCAGAAGGCATCTCGACATTATTTTATAAGCTAAGTGGATTCCCAGAGGGCAAGCTCGGCTTTTCATCCCTTCATCTCAAGCCATGGATAGGGGTTGAGGTTTGCCAAAAGCAAGACGTTGAATGTGAGATGGTGTGAACTGGGAATTTACTGAAAGTTTGCTCGGAGCTTTTCCTCTCTTCTGCTGGAAGGCCTTGGAAAACGTATAAACGTGATACCGAATCTAGAAATGGCCGTAGGAATTCTAGTTAGGAAGAAAATATTTGCGCTCAACAAAGAAAGAGCAACTAAGAATTTGGTTTATGATTTTTGGAAAAGACGCTTTCTTTGTTTTCGTAAGTTCTTTCTATTTTCCAAAGATGCCATAAGTAAGTCGGTTCACGTAAAAAATAAAATGCAATTGACTAGATAGAAAATAGTCACATTATATTCGGAACTGTTAAATCTACGAAAGAAGCAATAAATGTTGAATATCATTCGGCGCTCCTGATAAACTCCAAAGATGAATCTGCAATATTAATTGTCCTGATCTGGCATCACGGCTTCAATCACTTTGCCACCGCTGGAATCTCGATTTCCTGAGCCTTTCTAATAAATATTCCATATTACTTATTTGGATGAACGCTTCGTTATGGGACCTAGTCTCGATGGATTTAAGCTCAGTACTACATTGACGACAATGTATCATCAATTTATAGCGCAATTGTCTAGATGTAAAGTGTGAGAGACCCCATTCTGCTTCCTATCAACATGACTGAAACAATCTTACACGAGAGTGACGCATTATGCTTTTTCGGGCTAACGTTCTCGGCTGATATAAAGTGGTGTAAGAATTAGCAAGCTTATCTCGCTAGATCAGTTACGACTGAGTAGTGATTCCGATCCTCACCGGGTTTTTCATTCTTTAGATCATGTGCCCTGTCTAAGTTACGCATAGAACGCCACACTCTGGGCACTTCGACGTGGTGTAATGATTAGCTAGCTTATCTATCTAGATCAGTTAAAACTGAATAGATTTCTATCGACGCTGTGTTCTCCTTACTTTCTAATCACCACTGACCAAGCAGCAAGTACGATTCGACTTACCCTTTTCTTTACACCCTGGCCATAGAGCTGAGATCAAAGTGTATTATCTGTCTTTTGACAAAGAAAGTACATTTTATCTCTCAAATGTGTCTGTTTTAGAACAAAGAAAATTGAAAGAAATATTATTGAGAGCCGCCCGATTGCGGTAAAGAGATGTCCACGACAGTACCTCCCTCACTGCACTAAAGATGCTGGGGACGTTAGTCATAACGATATAAGTAAAACCCAAGTTTGCGAGGACTGAGCTATTTTTAGACCTGGCTCAGGGGCACGCGCTTGGGCTCCCCACATTTTGAATGATCTTGTGTTACATCCAGCCAGCACGGGCAGGAATTAAATACAATCTGGACTTCGGGCGGACAAACTCTCATATGTCATAAGGTTAATATCCGGGTTTGATTTTAGAAAATCTCTTCCCTTTGAGACAAATACCTTCTACCCTCCCCTGACCGCTGTCTCGTGCCTTTCGTCTGACTGAAGCATTGAAAATGATAAATTCTGGGTTAATTTTTTTGACGGTTGTCATATTTAAATTTCTAATTCCGACACGAACTCGGTATATATACCAGGGTTGAATAAGACTGACGAAGTTTTCGTCGGTTGAAATAGGTCTGTTCCGCATATGAAGTAATTTTGGATTTTTTATGTACTAATATATATATATATATATATATATATATATATATATATTAGTTTGAAAAATTAATTTATGTACTAATATATTTTAAATAATAGGTTTTGTATTTAATCCATTTATTTTAATTTTTTAATTCTTTGATAGTCATGTATGTTGGATTGGGAAAGGAAATATTTGAAAAAAATCCCGGACGTAGATTTATGTTTTGGTAAGAATCGATAGCACCTCTCTCAAGAATTTTTCCGTCTAAATATAGTCTTTCATTGTTTTTTCTATAATCATATCATCCTATACAAGGCAGTAATCCCCTAAAAAACACAAGCCTTTACTGGGTTTGAAAGAACAAAAAAAAAAAATAGAGACATTAATAAAGAACAAGAATAAGTGAAGACTAATGAGGAGGATAGTAGATAGCGATTGACATTGCATTTATACATTTGAAGATCAAAATTGTCTGGAAAGGCTGGAGCTGGATGAGAGTTCCACAAACGAGAACTGCGATAAAAGAAACTGTTAGCATAGAACTTACGGTTACATCTAGTCAATTCAATTGAAAATTAATGAGATTTAGCTGCCAATCTAGTACTGGGTTTAAATACATAAATTCGATGTACGATAACAAAGAGTTCATTGGAACAATTACTATGAAAGTATCTATAGAAAAGAAACAACAAAAGTTACATTGATAAATTCTAGAGATAAAATTGTCTAGTACGAAAGAGTGAACCAACTTTCTTAGCAATTGATACAATACAGAATTTCCACTTCATGTCAGCCGAGAATATTAGCCCTTGAAGGCCCAATGAGTCGCTTCTCCGGAAGTTTCTATCAGCCATGCAGATTGGAGGCAGAATGGAGTCTCTCAGTTGTTTAATAGCAAGAAGTTTCATTTTGGAGACGTTAATACGTGTGGCACATACGTAGAAAAATTGTTCAATCAAAACTTCTATCTTAAACCGAATTATATGCCGTATATTGAAAACTGATTACTAGATTTTGGAGATAGGTCCATCATAGATTTTTCTTCCCGCTTATTACATTTTTCTTTTCGTACTGTACTAAATTTGATTTAGAAATATCAAGAAACACACCTACCATCCAGGCTAAAACTATTTCTACTGGAAAAGGCAAACATATATACTTTTTCCATGAAATAAATAATTATATCTCAGTTGTGGATGGCAGGGATTATTTGGGAAGCTTAACGATATATCGGAGAAAGAAAAAAAAATCTACATCTTTTATGGCCCACATCCAGCGTTGAACAGTGTCGATCTTGCCAACGGATCTAAAAATAAGAGACAAACAAGCAGGGTTATAGAACCCTTCCCAGTCTTGACGAGATTTGCCGTCGGTATAGTGCGCAAAACACGTGAAGCCGATTCAGGTTATGCACTTCAAAATGCGGCAGAACTTTCACTTTTTGAAAATAACATCTTCATACTGCCGTTTGGATTTCTCGCGTTCGTCCGCCTTCAGACATATTTACAAATTTAGTTCAGTATGGCAAAAGGTTAGCTGAAGAGAAATGTAGAAAGGAAATATTGCGCAACATCATATTTTTCACCACAGTCACCTTGCATGAAAATCATTATGAATAATTCATTTTTGAATATTTACTGCACATGCTGGTGGAAAAAAAATCAAGCATCAAAGCCATGAATATGCCTAAATAAACTTTCAAGCATATGTAATTTATGCTATTGAAACAGACACACAAAAACACACACACACACACACACACACACATATATATATATATATATATATATATATATATATATATATATATATATATGTGTATATATATATGTATGTATGTACGTATGTATATAGGATTTAAGATTTAAGAAACAGTAGATACTTTTATATATAGTGTTCAATGTTAAAAATAATAAAATATAAAACATAGAGTTAATGATATATGAAAAGATGATTTAATTTTTTAAATATCAATTTTTATCGATGTTTCTTAGGAAAATTTGAAAGTGATTTTGTACGGTATTTCAAATTATTTTCAATTCAAAAATAAAAAATTGAAAAAAATTGAATATGCCGCTTATAACAACTATCCCTGAAAACTGGAATTTTTACTAAGAAACTTCGATGTCGCGATAAAAATTGATATTTAAAAAGTAATCTTTTCATATAATATATATGGACAAAGTCCGACAATTATTTTAAAACATTTTTATGTTTATACATTCCTTTTTTATAGATACAAATATTTAAGCAAATGCTCTGTTTACAATAATGTCCGAGAAATTGTCATAGAAAATATGTGTCATCCGACAGGAATCGAAACTGTATCCTATACGGAACCGTTATATAGCCTGACCTGCTTTTGCTTGAGTGACTCGACAAATACAAGCTACATTGTTATACTTTATAATATATACGCTCTTCATTAATGAATTGAGCCCTCTGGCTGCTGGCGTTTGTACAGCTCCGTATATAATACGTTAAAATTTCCCTTTCTCTGCCGTGTGCCGATATTTAGGGGTAGGGAAGGATGCCTGACTGATGTCAAATCACTCGGGTTTCGATTCCAGTTTGAAGCAATCGGATGTCTATCCACGCTGATGAGTTGTTATACAGCGAAATAGACTTGTATGAGGATGAGTCTGTCTGTCTGTCTGTCTGTCTGTCTGTCTGTCTGTCTCTCTCTCTCTCTCTCTCTCTATATATATATATATATATATATATATATATATATATGAATATATATATATATATATATATATGTGTGTGTGTGTGTATGTATGCATGTATTCTTCAGGTGTTGAACGAAGCTGGTTGTAATCATCTTTGTTCCCCACCTGATGAAATGCTTATATTAGACATCGAACCAAATACGCATCTTTGTAGTGATTACTTGTATGTTCGTATGTAATAACTTATATATATATTAGATTGGATTAAAAAATAGGGTTCAATACTGTGAATTTCTTTCTTCGTTCAATGACAATGTTATTAAACTTTTAGACGTTATGAAAAGAGTTTACATAAAATAAATAGACAACACTTGTCTATATTATTTAATGAAACGTATATAT